GTTTTGAATTGTGTCTCACTGTTTCATGTGTATTTATACATACTTTTGCATGTGTATATATATATATATATGGAATGTCATATATACACACCCACTCGAACAATTCGTTTTTCTGTTCCTCAGGTTCCCTAGTCTACATTATTCAATCTGTTGGGGGTCAGGGTTTCGGGTTTAGGGTTCGGGCCTTAGGGTTTTAGGGTTATGGTGGTGGCCTGCGTTCAAAAGCTAGGCTTCAGGTTTTGAAGACCCCCCTACGCCCTAAACTCGAACCTTCTGCAAATTAGGGGTTAAGGGTTTAGGGGTTAAGGGTTTAGGGTTTAGGGACAAATACATGTTTTGTTCTTGTGTATTGCGAGCACAGCCATGCATCCGCTGTAGTCACCATAACTTGGGGGGGACCCTAAACCCTAAACCCTGGAGGAGTCTACGAATAAACTGGGGCCTGGGAAAGATTGCTGTAGAACCTCCGGACCGGCGCAGCATGGAGGTATGAATTGTCTTCATACTACTAATATCATCATCGCTACAGTTAGTATCAACAATATTTCTTACATTATTACTATCATTGCTATCATTGCTACTATCCAGTCGATATTTGTAGTATGAAACTTGGTAAGAGAGTCTTACGTCTAAATTTGTAAGTCTCCAAGGGTTCAAGTACCTAACAGTCATCTACTCTCCCAAATACTAACCAACCTACACTCCTACACGTTACTATCCTACACCAGGTATCTTGTTGCTGGGTCCTTTGAACTCTCAGGGATTGGTAAGAGCATCCTACACCTTAAACTCCAGGCCCTAAACCGGAACCACAAGCTTCAGAGCAAAAACCCTAAACTTGAGACCTTCGCCCTCTAACCCAAGCTCTGAAGCCCCTATAAAGGCGTCTTAAATAGTCGGCAGAAGCATTGCCGCATGGTCCTTATATGGTTATACTACAATCTACCCTCATCGCCTTATTGCAACAAAGTAAGTCCTTATTACAATCTCAAAACCCCAGAAGCTGAAAACCCTAAACCCTACTTGGAGCATCATGGGACGTAGTATGTGAGCTTATACGTACCTTGATTGGGGTTATAAGTAGTGATAAGTATAGTTACCCTAATTATAACCCTAGTTACTAAGTCCCATGATCCTTTAAGTAAACCATACTTATAGTAACCACTCAGTGGAGGAGCCGAAGCCCAGCAACTGCAATGCAGACCCCAGATTGATGCACCACCTCATAAGGATCATCATAGGGATCCTAATTTTAGGGTTCCTTCAACTGTTCCCGGAAGGACTCCTTTAAGGGCTCCTTCCAGAAACAGGGGAAACAAGCATCAGGGGTCTAGAGTACTTAAAGGATCATGGGACTTAGTAACTAGGGTTATAATTAGGGTAAAAATACTTATAACTATGTATAACCCCATTTAAGGTACTTCTAACCTTACTTACTAAGTCCCATGATCCCCATTATAAAACCCCTATAGATCCCTTTAAGGAACCCTATTCTAGAACCCTATAGTACCCTTCTTAAAAGGAGCCCTAAACCTTACTAAGTCCCATGATCCTCCAAGTAGACTCCCAAGCCGCAAGCCCTAAACCCTAAACCCTAAACCCTAAACCCTAAACCCTAAACCCTCCAAGCGCCTCCGAAGTTGCAGCGAGAGGCCTCCAAGCCCCAAGCCATCAACCCTTATCCAAGCCTTGAACCCTAAACCCTTAAACCCTTAAACCCTAAACCCTAAACCCATAACCCTAAACCCCTAAACCCTAAACCCCCCCAACCCAAAGCAGCCTAAGCCTGAAAGAACAAAAAAGCCAGCCGCACCTGGCATCCTCCATCGCAGGGAGTACGGAAAGTTCTATGGCGATCCCCGCAAGGCGACCTACCATAGGGCTTTGTCAGCTTTTATCGGGTTGTATAGTGGTGTTTAAGGTTTGGTGGAGGAACAAGGTTTTGGACTTGGCTTTGGGGTTGTGAGGGCCGCGCAGGGCTTTATGTTATGGTTTCGGGTTCTTATGCGGTGGTCTGAGTTCACAATGATTATCGTTTCTACATGATCGCGGTGATTACAGTCCGGGGCCTAAAAGCCAGACTCTAATGATCAAGGCCCTTGCATTCCCCTTGTGATAAAATAGCTGTGACATGGTCCCAGGTACCACCTGTAATGAGATTACGGAACTTACCGTATATGACACAACAATTTTCGCATTGCATACTGCAGCAAAGCCACAACAAGCAACTATGTATATATATATATACATATGTATATATATATATATATATATGTATATATAGATCTCCAGGGTTCCAAGTGTAAGAACTTATACCCGTTATGTTTAAGCTTTGGAGTCGAGTACATATTGGTTCAAACCTACGTCTGTATAATATCCCCTTGCAGTCCGTAAATATGTATATATGTGCGGTATATATTTACACTTATGTATACATATACACAGACGTGCATACATGCACACACACACACACACACAGACACACATACATACGGACAGACCGACAGACATACATATATACATGCATACGCAAGCCCTCAACCTGTGCTGCCAGGCAGGTGAGTTCAAGATCGCGACGAGGTTCCCGCTCCACGGCTGCACTTACACTTGCACACGCTGTCCGCACAAGTCCTGGTCCTGTGAGGAGCATACTATCGTGACGAAATCAGAAAGTCCGTGTCGGGCATCTTCACTGTTCGGCCTAAGCCCTAAAACCCTAAAGCCCCGGTCTCGGCAGCCCGGCCATGCCACATTTACTGCCGAGGCTTCCTGTGTCTGACACCTCCTTCTCCAGGTGGCCCATTGAAATCGACGTGCCGTCATTTCAGGGTTTGACGGCTGTAGGGTTTGAGGGTTTGAGGGGTTTAGAGTTTAGATGGTTGACATTTTCATTGTTTCGGGATGTTTGGCGCTCTAGGGTTTTTGGATTGAAGCTGTTAGGATGTGGGGTTTTATGAGATCGGGGGCGTGGTGTGGTTTGGGATTTGGGCTTAAGAGGTTTGGGATTTAACGAGCAGGAGTAAGGAGTAAGGGTTTATGGTTAAGGGTTTACGGTTTCACGTAGGATGTACGACGGTTTAGTTTCCGGGGGTGCAGTCGAGTCTTCCATTGTAAGAGTGTTCGGAGCAACAGGAAATAATGGAGCGCCAGAATTTTCTTGGTAGATGAGAAAGCCATTTTTAAGCCGTTCGGATGTTGTATGTCTCCCCGAATTTAGGCTGTGCTGATCATCTGCTTTTCCGAGTCTTATAAATTGGTTATCCACTTCTGCGCCGTGGATCTCAGCGACGAGTTCTGTATCAGTCGAATAAACAGCATTGTGCTTATTTATGGTCCGAACATACAGGGTTCAAGGTTCGAGGTGTGCAGGTTCAAGGTGTTCGGGCATAGGTGTTAGGGCAGTTCGTTTCGATTCTACCTATAGTCTCCATTGTAGTTCCTGTTTTTGATTAACCAGTTTTATGGTTAGGAGCCTATAATCGAATTTTTTGTTAACCGAGAAAAGGAACTACAATGGAGACTATAGGTAGGATTCCGGGTGGTGAGGCTCCTTCGCCCCAGTAGCCATCAACGGGTGAAAGAATCGGTTTAGGGTTATAGGGTTCAGGGTTCTTAAACCCTATAAACCCCCGAAAGAGCAAGACAGAATGCATCCTGGTTGTATCACCAATTCAATTGCGAACGACATTGCCCGAAACCCCGAAGTTTTAAACTCATAAACCGTACGCTCCCCTTGACCTCTCAACCCCAAACCCCGGCCCCCAAGCCCAAGAACTATTCCACAGGCTGTACGGGCAGCGGGGTCATTCCGCGACGCGGCTCCCCGGCGAGCCCGGATTCTACAAGCTGGGGTCCTAAAGCTGGGGGTTCGGGCTCTGGGTGGTGTTTTGTAAACCCTAAACTCCGAAACCCCACACCCTGAATCCCTAAACCATACGCCATACGCCAAACTCCTAAAGCATGCATCTTCACTTCGCAGCTCGCACCCGAAATCCGGAACGGGGCGAGCGTCTGCTTTAGGGGTTTAGGTTTGCGGATTTCGGATGCTCGGGAGGAACTGTCAGAGCTTTGATTTCACATGTCGTTTCAGCCAGCCGTGATGCGTCATATTGTTGTATCATCTGTTAGCGATGCTTTCTATCAGCCCATCACGAACATAAACAGGTGACACTCCCTTGGAGTGCTTGTTGCCTGATAACCGTGGTGAGATGATGACGATGATGATGCTGCTGCTGATGATGATGTGGGAGTTTCCGACAATAGGGGACCCAAATATGGTACCCTAAATAGTAGTGTGTTTGTTGAGGGCTGCTGTCTGTGACGATGCTGAACGCTGGTGACCTAATCTGATGCTGCTGATGTTGTTGTTGCTGCAGGTTCATCCTTACGCTATATGGTACATCATCTAGCGAACTATAATCCATGTCACCATCAACACTACACAGTCACCACCATCAAATCAAGCTCCAAATGACCCTGAAAGGGTTAGGGACAAAGAAGGAACGAGGATATCGGGTACCCTCGGAACCCCTCTCCGAACTCCCAACTCTGAAGATTACAAACCCCTGCCGAGACCTTGGTACACTTCTCGATTTGTGCACCATGCTTGAGCCACAACGTGTGGCGTGTCGTCCTTGCGCAGGGGCCATGCTTCAATGGTCCTGGCAAGCGTGTCATCCTTGCGTCAGGGGCCATGCTTCACTGGTCCTGACAACTGCCTTAGTACACTTCTCGATTTGTGCAGATCGGCTGTGCAAACACACTCCTCCTCACGCGAGCGTGTCTGAGTGAGCGTGCCAACCCGTTCTGCACTCGAGATGCACAAAGGTCAAACGAAAGATCGTATCAAGATTGATGCCTGAGAGATGCTGGACTATTCCTTCGGCAACACTCGGCAAACTATCACATGCATCCCACACCTGCAGATCTCAACACTACAGTCAGTGGGCAATTCCATCGTAGTGCAAGCGTATCTCGGCTACATCTCGGAATCTCATTGTTCATCGAAGGTTCAAGCGAGCTCGGGCTAATTCCAGAGCCGATCGTTTCAGCGTCTTTGTCAGTGCATCCGCTGGTAGCTCATTTCCCGACATGTGCTGAATGTCAAAACCCTCGAGGACAGCTTGATCACGGACATACGAACACCTGATACCTACCGTTCTGGTTCTCGTGGTAATCCATGCACCGTCTTCACGCACCAGGTTGATGACACATGCGGCGTTATCACTGAACAAGCACATCTCCTGATCTCCAGTGATTGCACTCAGCAGGTGTTTGATCTGAGCTCCACTTTGACATGTGGTTGCGGCTGCATCTACCTCAGCCTCGAATGCCGACCATGCGCACGTGGTTTGACGACAAGACCGCCACATCACTACATGATTTCCCCATGCAATCCATACGCCTGATCTGGACCTGGATGCTCCTGTTGCCCAAGAGGCATCACCATAACAGTTCAAGCACTCTTTCACTGCATCAGTGTAGTCGTAGTGTAGCTTTACATGTTCGGTACCTTTCAAGTACCTCCACGCTCGCGTGCAAAGCTTAAGAACCTTTGCAGGATCAATGGTTTGCAGACTCGCCAGTGTGCCAACATATGCACTCAGATCCGGTCTGCTACGTAGGCACACCCACTGTAGACAACCCAGCTCCTTCTGACACATCTTCAAATCCGCATAATACTGACCCGTCTGCTCTTTCGGCATCCACACACCTTCTTCTACATCAGGAAGATTATCACAACCCCCCATCGTGCTCCATCCACGTTTCTTTAACTCTGTGGAAATCCAAGCGTGTTGATGCAAGTAGATCCCGGTGGCATCCCTTCCAATCTTCATGCCGAGGAAAGATAGCTCATCCTTCACATTAACGGGCGTATTTTCCAGCATGATTGTTTCCCCAACCACCAGGTTCATGTGAGGATTTTGGAGGATTCCTTGAACCTTCAAGTCCCACAAACTGGACAGCTTTGCCTTCAGCCTGGCGCAAATTTCCAAATCACCAATGATCAGCGCGTCATCCACGTACATGATCATTGCGCCCTGGATCTCGCCACTCGAATCCCGAATCAACCATGTCCCTGACTCCAGGCTCTCCAAGTTCAGCAGTCCGTGTTCATGGTGAGGAAGCGGCTCTAATGTCACACCATCGAGCTCGCCATTTCGCTCTATCTCCCACTGACGGGGGGACCTTCGCAATCCGTAAATCGCTTTCCGAGCACGCCAGATAAAGCCCTTTTCAAGGAGGCCGAGCTTGTACAGGATACTCGGCGGCTGAATGAGCACCGGTTTCGCATCCGGACATCGATCAAGTCTGGCATTCAGGAATGCGCATGAGATGTCCAGGACCACCGCCGTCATGTTGGTAGGACGCCTCACCAGTAGTGAAAGCAAGATTCTCACGGTCTCCGCACCTGGATTTCCTGCAAAGTTTTCTGGATCATGTGCCTTTGAGTCCTTCTCGAAGTTTCCACAAGCAACTAGCCGGACTCTAGGATTCCAAGCTTGCTGAATGAGAGCAGCGATTTCCGAAGCACCCATGTCCGACCTGATGATTACCTCCGAATCCTCCATTGGCTTCTTGGTTAGCACCAGCTTTCTCGGAACCGGCTTTGCCTTTGGGAACTCGCTCTGCCGAACTTTCTCCAGCACATTCTTGGTTTCCATGGTGTCTAGCTCCTTGTTGAGTCCTGCCATCCACTTGTTGAGCTCCCACTCCGGAGTCGATGGATTCACGAACACCCCTGCGTCAGCAGTTTCTGTGACCATCAAGCGCTGAGATGTTGCCTCATCCTTAATCATCTGCTGTTCCACCTTGTTGGAATAGATCACATACTTCGTCTTGGTGTTTTCAGGATTTGGCCTTTCAGCTTTAACCACCCCTACCCTGGCTTCACCGTCAGGTTCTTCTTCCACTGGAGTCACCAAGAACCCATGACCAAACAATCCAAACAAGTGCTTCTCAGCCTCGGGCACCAAATGTTTTTTGAAGCGCTTCTCAGATGCAGTATTCCCGTCGTTCCACGGCTGGATTTCCCCTACCGACTCTTCGACCGTAATCATGTCAGAAGGTGGAGCATTCCATTTCACATCCCCAGTGGTGCTCACCCACACAGTTTGATCTTGGGAGCCTCGCTCAAGTCGCCATCGGACCGCCTCAACATCCCTAAGAACTGGCATCTGCGTCACACGCACAGTGGTCCTACCGTCCCGTGTTACCAGAACCCGAGCCCCACCAGGCGTTCGCTCATCATTGGCCAGGAATAGGCCCTCCTCTGCCCTAGGTCCCTAGGTTCGAATGGATGTCCTGCGGAGCTTGTTGGCTTTCGCACAAACACGGGACCAGAAGTTTCAATGCCCTACATCGCCGCAGGAAGGTGGCTTCCAGCACTGCCTCGTCCCAGAATTGCAAAGGGAATTGCGCATGCAGCAACAGGGATCCCGCCGCTGCCTTAAGCAATCCTACAAGCCTCTCTGCCCGACCATTCTGCTGTGGCGTGTATGGTGCACTCATTGTGGGCCACACACAACACTGCTCCACTGCTTTCTGAAATGCTCCTCCCACGAACTCCTTACCAGCATCACTGTGGATACGGAACACTGGGGGAACACCCTGAGCAAGCGATACAATCTGGCACATCACAGAGGTCAAGGCTTTTGCCACCTCTTCAGTTTGTTTGGTGAACAACAGCCTCGAAAACGGAATGTCAACACCGTCCTTTCTGCTCAAGTTTGCAACCATGAAGTAGCGATGTCCTGAAAATGCGGCCGGATGGGGACCTGACAGGTCCATGGACAAAGTGCCCTCACCGATCTCTTCCGGAGTCAATCTCCTGCACTTGCGCTTATGACCGTGGGCCTCAGCACAGCTGGGACAATGACGCTCGTACAACCCTTGTGCACACTTCCTCCTGAGTAGCTCAATCGCCCTATGTTGCGAGACTTCATCAAAGCTTGATACAGGGTTCACAGCTTCAGCGCTTCGGACGCTCCATGGCTGCACGGATGAGCCTATGTCTCGGACTAACGAAATCCCACAATGCTCACAGCGACCCGACGTCCCGGAGGAAACAAACCCTTCATACCCCGAACAGCCCTCACCCTCATCCTCATCATCGAGGTCATCTGGATGCACTCTGCTGTTCTCCTGGGCTCCATGATCTGAGACCTCACTGACTGCTTGATGCGCTATGGCCTTGCCCTGACTCGCGACTGCAACTGCGGCCTTGGATGAAATCTCTGGTAAGTTGAAACCCAATCGTCTCAACCTGTCTGTCATATCCTGATCAAGACGCTGCAGCTGCCTAGCCGTGTAACCGACCACCGTTGATCGAACACCCCGATGTTGATCAGCTCCGTGCCAACGTCTTGGGTCAAAGATGTGTGCCCTTTGGCACACGTCTAGCAGCATTCCAGTTTTGACTTCATCCTGCGATACACGTCTCCTGGCCGTGCCAGCTGAATCTTCAATCCACAGCTTGCCACCCTCAAATTTGGAAATTCCCACGATTCCCGCCACTGATCCCACAGCGTTCGTAAGGTCTCTGTGCGGACGCAGGGTAGCATCGATTGCCAGTGAGATCGTGGTAAACGTCAAAGTCGGCAACTCCTGTCTAATGAATCTGACCAGTAACCTTGTCAAGAAAGGTCGCTCGCGGGTAACAGTGGTGATCCCTGTAACTCCCCCGTGGCAAAACATTCCGAATATCCAGATTTGTACTCGGTCTTGATCTGGATTCACCAACATATCCTGCCTATGCGTTCTTTGACCTTTCAAGTGTGCCTCCCGGATAAGTCGCCACACATCCTCATGCGATATACTGTCACGACTCAAAAGCTCTCTAGCTCTAGACTCTGACTCCCAAATTGCCTTTGCGATCTCCTCGCTCTCTTCGGCTGTCATGCGGTATGCCTCTTCATTCCACACAGCCTCGCTCAACTCCTCGATGGAACATGTTTGGCAACTCTTCCACTCAAGAGCTGTCTCTGTAGCTGCGCGTGCAACTGTTGGCCTGCGTTTGAAGTGTTTTGAGAGCATGATCCGAATCGGCTTGAAGCTCTCCCAATCAAGAAAGGGCAACCCATTCTGAATCCTGCAATCCACATACTGCTCATGCCCTTCACCGTCAAAATAAGATACTGTTGCTGCCTCTCGATCCCACTTGAAAGTTCCACCAGCCTCCACGAGCCGACGAACACTCAACAGCCAGTCCCTACTATCCTCGGTGGACTTGACGCATAACTCTCCATCCCTGGTTCTAAGCGCGGCTACTCGATCACCGCTCGCAGTTACAACGGCTGTGTGGGTACATCCACTTTCCTTTATATCTGCAAGCCAAGGACGAATAGTCTCATTTGCACCCGAATCCACCAACACCGACGGCTACTGACTGACCACTGCACTTCCAACTGGTTGATCAACACACTCAAGTCTGCTAGCGGTGATTGGCTCAGCCTTAGCTCCAACCAACATGGGAGGTTCAAAATCAAGCTCTTCCTCAACACATACACAACGCATAGCTGTCGGCATTGTTGCTCCTCCTCGAGGTGCTCTCGCCACTGCTCGTGCTTTGGGAAATGCTGTAGCTTTGGCTCGAGGGGCTGTAACGAATGGAACCTGGAATGCTCTAGCTACTGCTTTCGCTGCTGCTTTGGGTACTGCGGTGACAGCTTCAATCACCTGAATCTCGTTTGCTCTCCAAGCGTAAGCTGCAGCCTTAGCTAGAGGAGTTATGGGATAACCTATCCTAGGGAAACCCTGATGCAACTCCGGAGGCGGCGCCGTGATCGTCGGTGCCTTCGCAACTGGAGGACTGCTTGCTGAGGCTGCTGTACTCAGTTCCCGATTTGGCCACGGAGTGACAATGGGACGAACTCGCCCTCTAATCACTGCAACCCTGCGCTCTCTTCCAGTCTCCTCCTCAAGGAGCCACACCACAAAGACATTCCGAATGATGCCATCCTCAAACAACACTGGCGTCACATCGCACCTCAACATCACCTCATCTTCCGTCACAGGGATCACTCCTTGTTCGTTGTCATCAAGATAATCCGGTTCAATCGTCCACCAAACAGGCCACATAATGGAGTTTGGATTGGTTTCCATCTGGAACTCGGAAGTGGCATGTGACTGAATGTGACCAGGTCTCGTCCACATGATGAAATCTTCAATCGTCAGGTTTAACACCCATAGACGAAGTGGTTGCACCTGCCGGTGCTGATCTTCATCAGCCTGAAACTCTTCCTCTGAAGAAGGCTCTGCACTGGAGAAATCGCCACGCTCTACTTCCGACCACTCTGGCGTATCACCCTCAGCTCTCATAGGAATCTCTGCTTCAAGTGACTCTGACTCGCTAGAATCATTACTCTCGCAGTCCAGACTCTGTGCCATCATGATGCGTGGAGCTGTTGACTCGGATGAAGTCGGCCCTACTGCACCAACCAATGATGGAACCTCCTCTGAAGTCGCGCTTGCAACATGCACTACCGAAGAAGCCTTAGCTGATGCTGCTGCTTCTGCTGCCGCTTTGGCCGCCTTTTTGTCAGCCTTCGCCTTAGCCTTCGCTTCCGCAGCGGCCTTAGCCTTTGCTTCTTCAGCCGCCTTTGCATCTGCAATCCCTCCCGCGTCGCCCTTACCAGATGATTTCCCCTTTTCAGAAGAAGATTTTCCAGCATCCTTCCCATCTTTGCCGCTCTTGCCTTTGGCCTCCTTCCCTTTGTTTGAAATCTTTTCATGTCTGAACTCGCAATTTGCTCCTTTTAGGCAACCTCTGGCAGTATTGAAGTACGAGCACAACGGCCTTGCACCGACACCCTTTCCCCCAGTAGCCTGATTTGCCGAAGGAATAGCGTATTCATCTCCCTCATGTTTCCGAGCATCCTTGGACGACGACGACGTCTGTTCCTCAGCTTGAATCCGGGTACATTCGGCTTCCAATACCTGAAGGAACGATGTCACTCCTTCGTGGGATGGTACCTGGATGTTGTGCTGCAATCTCAACAAGCTCAATCTTGTTCCCAACAAAGCATGCTTTTTCTCAAGCTGTTGGCACAAGCTGTTCAATGCAGCAATTGACTCATGAGGGGCTTGTTCTGGGACTCCTAAATGATCAGCGCGTTGCTTGGCCAGTCTCCACCTCCTGAGTGTAGCAAGCAGCTCCTTGCAAGATGATGCCGTGGGAAGTTGCCGAAGGAATCTCTGTAACGACACTTGCTTAGTAATACCTCCTGGCATCAACACTTCGCTCACTGTCTCCATTAATGCAATCGTGGATACCGCCTCATTTGGGGTACCCTTCTCAAGAGCCGGTTGCTTCAAAGAAGATGGGATTGCCTTAAGCAGAGCCAGGCTCAATCGGGTTTCCATCTCCCGCTCCTCCTGATGAACTGCTGGCAACGTTGACTCACAACCATCCCTCAAGCGCTTCTCATAATTGGTCTGTCCCTCCTGCACTCGCTTTCGGAAGAACTGTGCAAAATATGGTGATATCGCCTCTGCCAATGATGCGGCTTCTGTGCACCACTGTCTAAACACCATTCCCTTTTCCCACGGTTCTCCGTGAGGAATCGTGAGTTTGGGAAAATCTTTGATCAATTTCCATTGTCCCGCCGGAATCTTTGCACCAGAACTTCCTAGACCTGGAGGCTCCGCAGGAACAGATTTCACAACCTGAGGTTCCTCTACTTGTTCCAGCCACTCATCAACAGCATCCCTCTGCCATGAATCATCGGCTCCGTCACGCTGGGGAGTCATCTGGAACATCTGGACACCTGACGCTGTGCGATGCTTTGGTGTTTCAATGATCTCCTGAGCCTTCGCCTCCTCCTCAAACCTTTCATCGGACACCTCCTCTGCAATCTGCTGGGGCATCTGAAGTTGAGGACGACGTGGTAAAGCTCTGGATTCCGAACTAAACCCCGCATCAACGTGAGTTTGCAAGGTTTCAAAGCGGCTGGTGAAATCCTCCGACCGCTGTCTAAGCTTCTCACAGAGTTTCTCATTTCCATCCACACGTTCGAAGAAATGTTTCAACAACACATCCATCTCGTCAATTCTGCGCTGAATGCGGGTCTCACTCTCTTCACTCTTGGTCTGCGCGCTTTGTTGTATCTCGGGTTGCTGATGCTCAAGCCTTGACAATGTAGCTTTCATCGAAACCACTTCATCTTTCAGCGCGTCCGCTGATGCAGCCTGAGCTCTCAACTGTATGATCTGATTCTCAAGGGCACCCAACCGAGTCTCCATCGTAGACTCAAAGGTGACCTGACGCCTCGACAACTGGGTGACTGCACTTTCTATCTGCTGGATCTGTTCTTCAAGCTGTTTGAACTTGTCATTGGCGTTGTTCAAGGCAACATGATGATCACTTGCAGCAGTGAGCAGTCTCTCTGATTGATGTTTCACCCCATCTAGGTCCCCGGTAATTCCCGACAAGCACGATGCCAATCGTTCTGTTCTTGCCTCAAGCTCCTGAGCCACCAAACGAACATTGCTCTGCACGTCCTTGATGGTCTTAGCGTCTGCCACTACTGCAGCTGATGATTGAAGCAATCTCAGAACTTCGGCTGGCGCCTGAATCTGCAACATCTGCTGCATCCTCATACGTACCACATTTTCTGATGACGGCTCGTCGAAGTGCTGAAGCTGTGGTGCCACTGAAGCACTCGCTGCAGAAAGGGATTGCGGTGGAGCGTTTGGGCTCATCACCTGTGTTTGTTGAGGGCTGCTGTCTGTGACGATGCTGAACGCTGGTGACATAATCTGATGCTGCTGATGTTGTTGTTGCTGCAGGTTCATCCTTACGCTATATGGTACATCATCTAGCGAACTATAATCCATGTCACCATCAACACTACACAGTCACCACCTTCAAATCAAGCTCCAAATGACCCTGAAAGGGTTAGGGACAAAGAAGGAACGAGGATATCGGGTACCCTCGGAACCCCACTCCGAACTCCCAACTCTGAAGATTACAAACCCCTGCCGAGACCTTGGTACACTTCTCGATTTGTGCACCATGCTTGAGCCACAACGTGTGGCGTGTCGTCCTTGCGCAGGGGCCATGCTTCAATGGTCCTGGCAAGCGTGTCATCCTTGCGTCAGGGGCCATGCTTCACTGGTCCTGACAACTGCCTTAGTACACTTCTCGATTTGTGCAGATCGGCTGTGCAAACACAAGTAGGATCCTTACTATAAGGACCCAACTAAGGTATCCCTGGGTTTATTCTGACCACTAGCATGGCAAGCCCTCTTGACAGTCTTCGTCGTATGGTTTGCGACCATCAAGAAGCAGCTTGCTTGAACGTCCATCACCCGTCATGTTGTTGTCTGGAAGGCGTGGCTTCACTTCAATTTGCAGGGCGCTGATGGTGATGATGGTGATGGTGGTTATGAGCGTGATTACCAGCATAACCATGCTAATTTTAACCCTACGCCGCCCGCCTCGGCTCTTTAGCGGCAGGGCGCGGGGGCAGTCGATGATGTATACATGCCAGGGGGGCCTCTCAACCCCAACCTTTACACGGTGCGGAAACGCCATCTTCCCGCATGGGGGAGCCGGGGGGAAGAGGGGGAGGGGGGGAGGGGGGGCGAGGAAAAGAGAGGGGGAGGGGGGCAGGGGTGGGGAGGGGGAGGGGGGAGGGGGAGGCCGACAAATCAGGTAAAATGAAGTGAAGCCGGGCAAGGGGGTGGCAAACGAACGGAGATTAGGTGGAGGGTGTACCTGAGGTAACCCCCAAGACGCCTGGGCCTGTGGCCTCGGCGGATTGCAGCCATGGAGAGTTTTGCTGGACAATGGTGTCGGTGATGGCACTGATGGCATTTATTCCACTTTTCGGTGATCGGTGTGTTTCTTTTCTTCACATCGTTGTGCTGATTGTTATACCCCTCAGTCGAAATAGGACAACCGCTGAGATACAGCACCAGGCACGATGGCCTCAATGTCATGACCGGCGTGAAGTCACAGTCGTCTGTTCATGTCGCCAACAAGGACTATGATCTCGGATTTCACCTATGCCACCTGCAATGTTAGGGTTCAGGGATTGAGAGACGGACCCGCCTAGCAGCACAGGCTTCTGGTTCCGGGTTTCGAGGGCCCAAGGTTTGGGGTTTAGGGTTTAGTGTTTTGGGGTTAAGGGTTTTCGGTTGAAGCAGGGTTTAGGCCTCAAACAGGGTTTAGGGTTTGGGTTTGACCCTAAATCCCAGACCCTTAGACCCAAATTCCTCGGATTGCTTGCAGCGAGAGGCCGACTCGCAAAAGCCAGGAAAAGACCTGCCTTTTTAGGGTTCCTTATTGGGATTTCTATGTATAGTTCCTTAAAAAGGTAGGTCTTTTGGGCCACAGGTAAACTCTACTGCCAAAGCCCTGTTTGCCAAGCCCCTCGCCCCGCAAACCTAATCACCGAACTCTCAACCAAAGCCCCAAACCCCTACACTTATACACACCCCATAAACCCTGAACCCCTATAAACCTTAAAGCCTTAAAACCTTAAAACCCATAAGCCCAAAGCACCAACAACCGCAAGCCACGATGGCGCAGGACTGGATCCAGCGACTCCTAGGATGAGCCATCCGCCCCTGGACGCAGGGCTGCCCTCTATCTAGAAACCCTAAACCTCGGGGCCTCAAAAGGTAGGATGAAGGTAGGTGGGACATTCCCAAATAAGAGTCCATATATAAGGGATCCTTAATCCCGCCTGCCCTCATCCCACCTTGTGAGGCCTCCGAAAACCCAGGGTGTAAGGTTTGGGTTTGAGGGCCTAAACCCAAAGCACAAACTAAGCCCATCCGAAATCCCTAAACCCTAAACCCGAAACCCTAAACCCCGTAGCCTGAACGCGAAGCCCGGTGGCCTGAAGACCCTACATCCCGAAGCCCTGATTTAGGGAGTTTCCGAAAATAGGGGTCCCTTATTTTGGGGTCCTTATGATAAGGATTCTGCTATTTAGGGGTCCCTTATTTTGGTGTCCTTATAATAAGGATTCCACTATTTCAGGTACTATACTAGGGTCCCCTGTTTTCGGAAACTCTCATTTAGCTTCGGCCCCGGGGGGTTGCGGCCTGCGCCTGCTAAGCAGGCGAAGGCACGGGCAAATGATCGAGCTGGGCAAATCCAGCAACTTTCTGGGTCCTTCTTAAAGAGTGTATCTCAAGCCAATGCTAAGAAGAGGATATCTGGCATTTATATGGCGTTGCTTTCTTCTAATGCTGACCGCAAATACCAAACAAGGACGCAGAATTTTCAATCCATCCCAGTCTCACGGAATCAAGCGCATGAATCTATCCAGTCAGAAGGTGAGGATACAGGCTTTGGGGTTATGCGGGCGGTTCTGTAGGTTAGGGTCTCTTGTTCTGGTTGCTTGTGAAAAGTGTAACGCCTTCGTTTGGGGATTCCCAATGAGGGAGCCTCGTGTGGAGAACTTCCCATGTGGTTCAGCTTAGAGTTCAGGACTCAGACGTGTGAGTGTGGAGTTTAGGGCTTACGGTTCAGCCTTTCGTGGTTTGGTCCAGGTTTCGGGATCATGTTGACTAAACCCCAAGCCCTAAATCCTAAACACTAAAGTTGCTGCAAGGTACACTGGTACACGCTTCACAGTTCAGGTCTCGGGAGCTTGGGTGCCTCCATGTGTGCGTTTGAGCTCCTCCATTATATGTTTTTCGGCGACTGAACGGGCACGCGAATTGCCACTCGACTTAAGCAACGACTATTCAGAGACAGTCTGGCAGGGCCTGCTTAGTGTGTTGGCCTCGAGCGGGCTTTAGGGTTCGTATCTCATATCACAGAGAGCCCAACAGTTCCAGCAGGTGCATTGTAGGTACCTCCTTCAAAGGCTTCATACCTCCTCTCTGAACATCCGAACCCAACGGAAAAGCCTTTATAAGCCTTGAGTTACAGCCTCTGTCACGTGCAGACCTCCTGTAGCTCCGGGAGGTTTGCTGGATGCAGATGACCCTCTCGCAACATGGCCGGGAGTTCAGCTTGGGGGGGCCCGGAAGCCCTTAAACCAAGTCGCAAGTTGGAGCTTTCGAGCGCGAGGGACCAAGTCTATGAGGTTTTAGGGTTTGAGGTTTAGGGTTTATAGGATTGAAGGTTTAGGATGCAGAACCCCGAATATCATTACCCGTCGTTTGCACAGGACATCCTCGAAACACAGCTTGTTGCAGCTACCGGTGCTGAGCCAAAAACCCTGAGCCCTGAAGTACAGAGTCTTGGGTCTGAAGAACTCGGTAGTTCTCTACTAGAGGATCCGAACTACGGTTGATGATCTAAATCCTGCATTTCTCAGAATAAGGAATATGCCATAATTCCCATAGTTTAGAGTCCTTAAGGTAGTGCAGGATTTATATTATCAGCCGTACCCATATACATACGCTATCCCAAGATTTCGAGCCGTCGGTCGCTATTAAGAAAGGACAGACTTGGATGACCTCGAGCTTCTAAAATTAGGGCGTGGTTTTTGTTCCTTATTTTTTTTCCGTTTCTTTTCTTATTTTTTTTCCGTTTCCCTTGTTTGGCTAGGGGTAGGGGTAGGAGGGGTAGGGGGCGAGGGGGTAGGGGTAGGGGTAGGGGTGGGGGTAGGGGTAGGGGTAGGGGTGGTAGGGTCATAGTAGCAGTAGAAGTACTAGGGGTAGTAGTAGTACTAGTCGTAGTAGTAGTAGTAGTAGTAGTAGTAGTAGTAGTAGTAGTAGTAGGTGTAGTAGAGTAGTAGTAGTAGTAGTAGTAGTAGTAGTAGTAGTAGTAGTAGTAGTAGTAGTAGTAGTAGTAGTAGTAGTAGTAGTAGTAGTAGTAGTAGTAGTAGTACTAGTAGTAGTAGTAGTAGTGGTAGTGTAGTAGTAGTAGTAGTAGTAGTAGTAGTAGTAGTAGTAGTAGTAGTAGTAGTAGTAGTAGTAGTAGTAGTAGTAGTAGTAGTAGTAGTAGTAGTAGTAGTGGTAGGTGGTAGTAGGTAGTAGGTAGTAGGTAGTAGGTAGTAGTAGTAGTATGGTAGTCGTAGTAGTAGTAGTAGTAGTAGTAGTAGTAGTAGTAGTAAAAGTCGTCGTCGTCGTGGTAATAATATAGTAGTAGTAGTAGCAGTGGTAGTAGGTACTAGGTAGTAGGTAGTAGGTAGTAGGTAGTAGGTGGTAGGTGGTAGGTGGTAGGTGGTAGGTAGTAGGTACTAGGTAGTAGGTAATAGGTAGAAGGTAGTAGGTAGTAGGTGGTAGTTAGTAGTAGTAGTAGTAGTAGTAGTAGTAGTAGTAGTAGTAGTAGTAGTAGTAGTAGTAGTAGTAGTGTAGTAGCAGTAGTAGTAGTAGTGGTACTAGTAGTAGTAGTAGTAGTAGTAGTAGTAGTAGTAGTAGTAGTAGTAGTAGTAGTAGTAGTAGTAGTAGTAGTAGTAGTAGTAGTAGTAGTAGTAGTAGCAGTAGTAGTAGTAGTAGTAGTAGTAGTAGTAGGTGTAGTAGTAGTAGTAGTAGTAGGAGTAGTAGGAGTCGTATAGTAGGAGTAGCAGCAGCAGTAGCAGTAGGTAGTAGTAGGTAGTAGTAGGTAGTAGTAGGTAGTAGTAGGTAGGCAGTAGGCAGTAGGCAGTAGGTGGTAGGTGGTAGGTGGTAGGTGGTAGGTGGTAGGTGGTAGGTGGTAGGTAGTAGGTAGTAGGTAGTAGGTAGTAGGTAGTAGGTAGTAGGTAGTAGGTAGTAATAACAGGAGGCTGCAACGATTCCATCCTTGCTTCCTTTATTGCTTGCTTACTTCTTTGCTTGCTTGCTTGCTTGCTTGCACGTTTGCTTGCTTGCTTGCTTGCTTGCTTGCCTGCTTGCACGCTTGCATGCTTGCTTGCTTGCTTGCTCGCTGGCTTGCTTGTTTGCTGGTTTGCTTGCTTGCTTGCTTGCTTGCTTGCTTGCTTGCTTGCTTGCGTGCTTGCTTGCTTGCTTGCTTGCTTGCTTGCCACGAGCAAAACGGAAAAAAAATACGAAAAAAAACGGAAAAAAAATAAGCAAAAAATACCACCACCCTAAAATTAGGGGGATGTGACAGTTAAGACAGTAATCCCGAAACCCTAAACGGTTTAGGGGAATATGGTTTGGGGGTTTACAGTTAAGACATTATGGGGGCCTGAATAGTTC